GCTTCGAAATAGAATGTCAACGTATGTTGATTTCCAAAATAACTTTAACTGTAACAAATAGATCATGACGTTTCAAATGACTTGTAAATAGACTCAGTCAAAGTAGAATGTCATATGGCATCGTAAGTTTAAATTTCATGATTTCTTTGTATTCCTTGGTCTTTGGCCTTCGCATATATACTGCTACAGTTTATACACAAAACATAGCAATAGTTGGACATGTCTGTGATCTATTTTGCAATTATAGTGTGTATGCTATGGGCATAATTTACATAATTGATTACTTTTGTTTAAAAACATTACAGGTAGAGTGTACAGAGATATAGTTGGAAGTGCTTACTATTTTGCTCCTGAGGTTCTTAGGCGCAACTATGGAAAAGAAATCGATATCTGGAGTGCTGGGGTTATCTTATACATTCTTCTCAATGGGGTACCTCCTTTCTGGGCCGGTAAAAAATAGACTCCCTTAGTTTGGTTAAAGAGTGATTTATTTGTGATTTAAATTTATTTTCTTTACAAGTGTTATATTTTGGCTTTGCAGAAACTGAGAAAGGAATATTTGATGCGATACTACAAGGCGATATTGACTTCGATAGTTCACCATGGCCATCTATATCAGATAGTGCCAAAGATTTAAATACTACAAGGCGATATTGACTTCGATAGTTCACCATGGCCATCTATATCAGATAGTGCCAAAGATTTAATCAGGAAGATGCTGACCCAGGATCGATAGTTCACCATGGCCATCTATATCAGATAGTGCCAAAGATTTAATCAGGAAGATGCTGACCCAGGATCTGAAGAAAAGAATTACTGCAGCCCAAGTCCTTGGTAAGTCTTTCTTAAGGATTTAATTGTACATAGACCCCATGTAGTATCATTGTTACTTACTACCCGTATAGTTTCATTGTTGCAGATAAACCCCCAGGTTAATCAACTTTTTTTTTTACGTTCAGATAGACTCATTAATTTCACCCATGGGCAATGATCCGTCACAATTTTTGATGATCTCATGTGTCAAGGATTAAGATTCTACATATCACAAAATGATTAGTGTCGTCCATGCAGGCTGCTGGTTATAAAAAAGCTTGCTACAATCTCATGTTTCAAGGATTTGTTGTGGTATCTAGAGCAGTTTGTCCTGGGATTGAAATATTTCCCCTTTCTACCTATGGTGAAATTCAAGAGTTAATTGACATAACTATCTTCAAAGGTAAATCAGAATTGGGTTTAACTCCGTTTTCTGTAGACTTACATCAAGCATTCAACTTTCTTTTGAAATTTATTTCTATGCAAGGGAGTTGTCCACAAATTTATCTCTAGTATGAAGTCTGATAGCCACCTTTACTTTATTTTTCCTGATTTCTAAATGACCCCATTAACTTTTGGGATGTAGTCAGCTATCCTCTGTTTCATATTTTACTAATACATGTACTCTTTGTCCTTCGACGAAAGCGTTATTTTATTAGTTAAGCTTTTACAGCTCAAGGAATTTGTGTGATATTTAGAATTAAACATTGCTGATAAGATTTTAACAAGATCCTCACTTGTATTTAAAAGTTAATAGATAAATGACAACGTGGTTAGAGATCCATATGTTAATAATATAGAACTGAAGTGTAATAAAGTAGCCATACTCACTTACATTATATGAAGTGCATCTGTAAATAACTCTTACTTGTCTGAAGTGTAATAAAGTAGCCATACTCACTTACATTATATGAAGTGCATCTGTAAATAACTCTTACTTGTTCTTCTTTAAATTGTAGGATCAGGAAACTGGAAATTGGTGGTTGGCATTTGGAGATTCTGTAGTGGGATATTGGCCAAAGGAGAATTTCAATAAAATGGAGAAAGCTACTGAGGTTGATTGGGGAGGTGCAGTTTACTCTCCCTTGAATGAGCCTAGTCCTCCTATGGGGAGCAGTCATCTACCTTTCGAAGGTTTAAACAAGACATGATATTTTCTGAATGTTCAGTTAGTAGATAAAAATAATAAGGCCTATAGCGCATGAAAAATCGGAGCTACTCCTGTAGGGAGCAGCAGTACGATACGACGTTCTAATGCAGACGACGCTGATAACAGGGATGCCGACAACAACGATGATGAGTGAGTGAGACTTGTGTTAAGACATATTATGACTTTTGAATTTTACCTATATGTAATATATTTGTGATTTTATTACGTAGTGAATGAATATTATTTGAACATGCGGGATGTATTGTGATTTGAATTCCAACACTCGATAGCCTTCGAGCTGTTGCTTGGATTCCTTGACTTGGACCTCCTATCCTTTGATCTACCTCTGTAGTTTGATTTGTCCCGTCCGTTCTCTCTGGTTGAATTTCTACCTCTTGACTCTGTATGCAATATTAAAGAGGTTGTAGCTTCACCCAACTCTCTCCGTCGAATCTCCTCACTGAGAACCAGATCACGAACATCATCGAACTTCAACTTGTTGCTTCCCGACGAGCTACTCACAGCTGTGACTGTAGCGTTCCAGCTTTCTGGTAAGGAAGATAAAAGATTCAACGCTCGAACTTCCTCATCAAACTCAATTTAAACTGTTGGGTTGTGACCGTATTGAGTTCATTAAGGTGTTGTGCTACTGACGCGCCTTCCGTCATTCTCAGATTGAATAACCGCTGCATCAAATAAACTTTGTTCGTGGCTGATGGCTTCTCATACATATTTGAGAGTGCTGTCATAAGACCCGCTGTGATCTTTTCCTTCGTAATATTAAACATAATATTACGAGTCAACATCAATCTAATAACTCCGAGGGCTTGTCTGTCTAGAAGGATCCACTCATCTTCCTTCATTGACTCTGGCTTCTTCCCTGATAGTGGTTGATACAGATTTTCTGATACAGATAATCCTCTATCTGTATTTTTCAGAATCCGAAATATGTCCATCAAACTTCTCAAGTCTTATTTTTCCTTCATCTGCTGTTTAGGGGTTTCGGCGTAATTTCCCAACAATTATTGCTATTACATAGTGAAAGATTCTTATTGATAAATCATTTTCTTCAACCTTCATGTTAGTGTTATTACGTTCTGCAATATGATTGTCAACTATTTGTCGATAAATAATTGAGTTTAGGGATAAAATGCATAATATAACGAAGAGACCCAATTATCTGTAAAAAGGCTTCTTCTCTGTTTCCTTATCGTCTAGTCGGTACTTAACTGTAAATATTGGATGGTTTATTGTAAAAGCTTTTGCTGCTAAGTGAATTCTTGCAAGATTTAAATGATTTCTTACAAGATTTACATTCTTAGTTTCCACTCAGCTGCCTCTACTTGTACTTTACAAAGTATAAGTAAACACAAAACCTTGCTCTTATCCAATAACTACAAACTCAAATCCTATTAACAGATCCCGAGATTCTTTCTATAACTAATCCATCAAAATCTCAATCAAAGAACTGAGCCGAAGAACGATCCTATCAGCAAATCTTAAGATTATGTCCATACCTAATCCATCAAGATCTCAGCCAAAGATCGATCTTATCAACAAATCTTGAGATTTTTTTCATAACTAATCCATCAATATATTGGCCAAAGTACCGGGCCAAAGATCTATCCTATCAACAAATCTTCAGAGTTTCTATAACAAATCCATCGAGATCTCGACCAAATACCGAGCCAAAGATCAAACCGACTAAACAATCGTATCAGAAAATCTCGAGGTTGTTTCTGCAACCAATCCATCGAAATTCGCCAAATTCAAGAAATGAAACATGATTAAAATGAGACCGAACAGTGAAAATAAGGAAACGGACCTGATCGTCTTCATCAAGACGATGGTAGAAGGCATCGATTTCTCGAACTACTTATTCTTCTTCTTCGATGTTCGATATTGTGGATTTGAGATTTTTTTCATAACTAATCCATCAATATATTGGCCAAAGTACCGGGCCAAAGATCTATCCTATCAACAAATCTTCAGAGTTTCTATAACAAATCCATCGAGATCTCGACCAAATACCGAGCCAAAGATCAAACCGACTAAACAATCGTATCAGAAAATCTCGAGGTTGTTTCTGCAACCAATCCATCGAAATTCGCCAAATTCAAGAAATGAAACATGATTAAAATGAGACCGAACAGTGAAAATAAGGAAACGGACCTGATCGTCTTCATCAAGACGATGGTAGAAGGCATCGATTTCTCGAACTACTTATTCTTCTTCTTCGATGTTCGATATTGTGGATTGACGGATGAAATTGAATGAGTACTCATTTGGAATGTGAATGTATATCATGGTTGATTTTATGATATATTGTTAAATATTATCATTGGATTGATGTCGATTCAGGCTATATGTGTATTCTCGTATGGGAGTCTACTAGAACATTAAATTTTTTTGCGTAAATATAGACATTGGCGACGGGGATCTCCCCGTCACCAAAGAAATCCGTCGCCAATAGTCGTCCGTCGCTAATAAGTATTAGCGACGGGAAAACCCGTCGTCAAGACTGGGAAACCCGTCGCCAATACTTATTGGCGACGGATCCATTTCCGTCACCAATATGTATTGATGACGGATTTTGGGGGCATTAGTGACGGATTTCCTCGTCGCTAATGCCATGTTTTCTACTAGTGATTCCTTTAAGTCAACTTTTTGACATGAAGGACCAGTTATACCCTTACTCATATATGTTTCAATCAAATCCATCTACATCCCGACCCCTTGTAAAATGAACACTTGAGAAAATATCTTTCTCCCCACTGTATCATAAGATTAAAATGGTAAATAATCGTTCACGTCTAGTCAATTACTGGCCAAACAATGTGTTAGCACTAACACATTGGATGGAAATTTTGGGGGGAGGGGGGGCTAATTTGAAAAAAAAAATTATAAGATTTGGAGACCTAATAGAAGTTTTAATAATTTGAAGGACTAATTACAAAATATTAGGGTGTGTTTAGCTATTTGCCCCTTAACTAGGTTAATATCTCAACCAGGTTAGTTGTGAACTAAGTAGGGGGTGAATCAATCCTATTTTGGATAAGTGCTCAAATTTGACTTAAAAAAATCAAGTTTAGGGTTAGCCCATATTCACCCAAAACAACATTTTAACCTCTTAACCAGGTTAAGCTCTACTAACCTAAACAGTAGGAAGTTGCCAAACGCTCAATTAGAGATTCTGAGGTACTGATACTAAATCCCTTCGTAATTTTATACTCCGGACATAAATGCTCCTTGTACTTTTTCGCATGTTAGGACAATTAAGCACATAATGTCGTCTGTGTCGGTTCTGTTCCATTTTAACCACTTAAGCAATTTTTATTTTGTCAGATGGTCTGATTGTAAGATTCCATCATCCTCTCGTGACGACACGTGATAAGGGCAGCGGGTCAGTATAAAAGGCCTACTCCGCTCTAATTTGAATCATGATCTGAGATTCGTTTCCCCCCAAATTCTCTCTCTCTGCTTCCCTCACTCAAATTCTTGGTCATTTCCTTTCAAATTTCGATCTCTAAGCTGAAGGTAGAAGTCGATCTACAATGGACGATGACCAAGACTCCTCCTCCTCCTCCTCCTCCTTCGATGTTCGTCGCCTCAACTGCTTCTCGAGCAACAGGAGTGAATTCTTGATCCTTCTCCATAGCAGAGCCTGTTGATCTTTGAGCTGAAGGTAGAAGTCGATCTACAATGGACGATGACCAAGAATTTGAGTGAGGGAAGCAGAGAGAGAGAATTTGGGGGGAAACGAATCTCAGATCATGATTCAAATTAGAGCGGAGTAGGCCTTTTATACTGACCCGCTGCCCTTATCACGTGTCGTCACGAGAGGATGATGGAATCTTACAATCAGACCATC